TAGGCAGGCCTTGAACCCGCAGAGCTCCATCTCTGCCTTTCAAGTGCTGGGATTAAAGGCAGATGCCACCATGTCCAGCCTACTGATTATTTATTGTCTGTCTTCAATTTAGAATATCTCCCTAATAGGCAGCCTCAAAGTGGTACCCATTATCCTCTGGTTTCTGGTGTTCATGCCCTTGCAGAACCCCTACCCTTGAGTGTGGGCTGGACTTTGTGATACACTTCCAAGCAAATAGAATATAGTAAAAAATGGGGCTAGAGAGATGGCTCAGTGGTTACAGTTAACAGCACTGGCTGCTTTTGCAGAGGACCCCAGTTCAGTTCCCAGCACCCACATGGTGAACAACCATCCCTTAACTCCAGTTTCAGGGTATCCAACACCTTCTTCTGACAGCCAAAGGCATTCACACATAGGTACACTTACATACATGCAGGCAAAACACTCATACATGTAAAATAAAAATAATTTTTAAAAATTTAAAATAATATAACAAAAGTAATGGGTGTCACTTCTGTGATTGTATCACTATAAGAAGGCTGACTTCTATCTATTCCTTCCCCATATCCCAGCCCTACCCCAGTAGAGAGGCCCACATTGTAACTGATGTTCTCCGCTATAAGCCCTGTGAGTGAGCTGGGGGCAGATCCTCCCCCAGGGAGCCTGTGATGACTACAGACCATCTGTTGCCTTAACTGCAGCCTTTTGAGAGGCTTCAAATCAGAGTCAACCATCTAGGCTACACCCAGGTTCCTAACCTGAAGAAACTGTGCGATGATCAACACATATCATGTTTCTGAGTTTGGGGATAATAATGTTACACAGCAATAGTTGGTTAAAATGAGGCCTAATAGGGCAGGAGTCCTGTTTGTCTTATTTGGCTTCCAGCACCTAGAACAGTACATGGCATACAGTAGGAGCAGTGTGGGATGAATGAATGAACTTCAGGAATTTTATGAGAAGGCTGCTCTGCCTTGCTCTGGATGGTATGGTGTGTATGAATCCTGAAACTCCTATAACACTTCATTGTCATTTGTGAAGCCAGTCAGAACAGAAGGCCAACACAGAGGGGGATGGAGAAAATGGCAAGACTGCAAAGCTAGAGTCCCATGAACATAGCTGCCTATCTGCAATTATTTTATTTTACTTTTTTTTACTTGAGTAAAGTTTAAGCTAATTTGGCTGGTTTTTCAATAAATTTGAAACTAAAATCATCCTATTATAGTTTTCATGCCATCCATCTCTCTTCTTTCTTTTCCCAAATCATTATTTGTTTCCTCTGCTTGCCCCTTATAAAAGAGTTCATAGGGTCTACCCAGTTTCCATACTTTTGCATTCCCCATTAGAAGAACCTGGTTCATTGGCCCAGTGAACCTAGATAAAAAGCCAGATCTCCAGCCTCCATTGAGGCTGTCCCTAAGTTCTGGTTGATGTAAAAGGCAGTTACGTGTTAAGTCTTTTGAGGAAAGATTTCCGTTTTTTGAAGATTTATTTTATTTTTTATTATGTGTAAATGTGTGGGCATATGCATATGTGAGTGCAGATGTTCTTGAAGTCCAGAAGAGGGTGTTATGATCCTCTGGAGCTAGAGTTAAAAGTGGTTGTGAGCTGCCTCACATAGGTGCTGGGAATCTAACTCAAGTCCTCTACAAGAGCAGTAAGTGCTCTTAACTGCTGAGCCATCTCTCCAGCCTCAAGAAAAACTTAAAAAGAAGGCTCACTTGGCTGACAAATTCCTCCTTCCTGTGACTTCTGTTTACCTGCTGTGGAAGTATGTTAATGGGACTTAAAGAAGCTATTTTACAAAACTGAACCAAATTTGAAGGTGGAGCGCACAAAGTACCTTAGTTACTTGTTTTGTTGCTGTGACAAGATACCTGACAGAAGCAACTTAAAGAAGGATGGGGTTATTTTGGCTCAAAGTTTGAGGATCAATGCATGGCCACAGAAGCAGGAGGAGGTGGCCACATTGGGTTGGTGATTAGGAAACACATGAATGCTAGTGTTCAGCTTTTTCTTCAGTTCAATACCCCGGCCGAAGTAATGGTGCTGCTCACATTTAACCCACCCTAGGAACTCCCTCACAGACATGCCTAGAAGTCTGTTTCATAGGTAATTCTAGATCCTGTCAGGTGACTATATTAAGGATCAAAGTATGTAGAAGAAACAAGCTTGAGTCTCTAATGAAACCAACTACAACCCCTGAAAGCCCCCTCTCTAATCTCCACACTGACAACAAAATAATCCTAACCTTGTTCCTTGCCCTCTATGTGATGTGTAGCTTACCACAGATCTAAGTGATGCTACCTCAGATGTGAAGCTCCCAGGGTCTTCTGTTTTCAAGACATAACCCTACCCTAGGCAATCTTATCTGCTCCCATGATGCACCATCTACACAAGAGTGACCCCCAACCTGATGCCTGAACCTGCTGCCTGTCTCCCAAGCTCCACACTCTGAGTCCCCAGTGACTCCAACATGTCTCCAACTGCATGTCCAGTTGGATGGCACTGAGAAGCATGTGTGGAAAAATCAAGATTCTAGAGCTGGGTAGACAGTTTCCAATCCTGATAACATTATTCTCTGAATAATAAATGGGTAAGCAGTAATGTCTCTGAGACTTAGTTTTTGTTTCTGTAAAATGGGCATATTGATACAACTTCATATGAGTATTATAACAAAAATTATGTGAAATGGTACCTGACATACAACCAGTGACAAATTCATTCATTTCTCCCCGCCCCCATCACCCAATACCTGCTGCCTTCTGTCTCTTCACCCCTTACGTAAATGGTTTTACCACTTGTGCAGTCTTCAGAGCTAGAACTCCTGGAATCCTCTTCAGTGTTTCTGTCATGGCCATCATTCCCTTATAATCAATCAGTGGCTAAGTTTGGCTGCATTTCTCCCAGAACTGTGACTGTGCTTCTCTGTCTATACTGCTAATCTCTTGTTTAAACTTTTTTTTTTTTGGTCTTTTTGAAGCAAGGTCTCCCTGTAAGCCCCAGCTGTCCTGGAACTTACTATGTAGACCAGGCTGGCCTTGAACTCACAGAGATCTGCCTGCCTCTGCCTCCCAAGTGCTGGGATTACAGGCATGTGCCACCATACCCGGCTCGTTTAAACTTTTTAAGTCCTTGTCTGACTTATTTCCATGACTAGCCACAGATTTTTGACAACTTAATTTCTTACTCCTATACCAGAATTGCCCCCTTTAAAAACATTGGGCATATGGACTGGCAAGATGATTCAGCTGTTAAGAGCACTGGCTGCTCTTTCAGAGGACCCAGGTTCAATTCCCAGCACCTACAGGGCAGCTAACAATCATCCATTGACACAGGTGCACTTACATACATGCAGGCACTACCCTTATACACATAAAATAAAAATAAATAATTTTTAAAAATTGGATATAATGGCACATGCCTGTAATCCCAGAACTTGAGAGGTAGAGGCATGAGGATCAGAAGTTCAAGGTCAGCCTGTGATACATGAGACTGTGTTTCTCACACACAAAAAGTCATGTCTCAATATAGTTTGTTGAACTTTCCTGACTTCTGTTGCCTACAAAGTACAATCCAAATTCCACAAATGGTCACCCAAGGCTGTCCCTTTGCAGCCTTTTCCTCCAGGTCCCCAGGGACTCACTATTCTTCAAACATATCAGACCCTTTCCCAACTGTCTTTGTGCTGATTAGAACATGTATGGTCTGTATCTATTATGTAACCTAATAATTGAAAGCTTAATTTGCTTTCTTCCCTTTATCCCCTTGCCTCATCCTTAAAGAAGCTGTTCTTAGTCTCAGAGAGGTTGGGCAGGTAGACAGCAGAGGTTTCTATAGACTTTTCCCTTTCTTGTTTCTCACCCAAGTTCCAAGCCCACAGAGGTAAAGGGAGCCTGCAGTGAGGGTGTCTCTGAGGAAACAACACTAAGGAGGGGTTTCCCCCAGAACAAGAGGTACCTAGGGCTGGAGAGGTGGCTCCACTGAAAAGCACTGACTGCTCTTGCAGAGGACCCAGGTTAGGTTCCCAGCAGTCACGTGGCAGCTAAAAACCATTCATAACTCCAGTTCCAGGGCTCTGATGCCCTCTTCTCCAAGGCACTGCATGCACATAGTGTAGTTATATACATGCAGGCAAAATACTCATACACATAAAACAACACACCAATACACACACACACACACACACACACACACACACACACACATGCACGAGCGCGTGCCTTGCACCTTTAGTCCCAGCAGGCAGATCTCTGTGAGGTTGAGGCCTGCCTGGCTGCCTGGCCTACAAAGCAAGTTCCAGGCCAGCTGGGGCTACAGGGAGACCCTATCTCAAAAAAAAAAAAAAAAAAAAAGTAAATATTTTTTTGAAGAAGAGGCACTTGAGCCTGGGAAAGGAAACATGTCTAAGTAGCATTACTGAAGGATCTTCTTGGAGCTTGGTGGGAATGCCTACAATAACTCAAGGAGATGTGATTCCACAACCAGGGCTCCTATGTCACAAAAAAAGCAGCTCAGAGGACTGAAGGGTCTTCAGCTTGAGTGCAAGGCACTAGAATTTTGGCACAGCCTTGGGTACAGAGGAAAGCCCCAGGAAGAACAAAGTTTGGATCTTCCCACAGCTGAGAGGGAAAATGAAATTGAAGGACACTGTGTTCCCCAAAGTTTGTGTGCTAGAAACTTAATCCCTCTAGCAACAGAGCTGTGAGACAGGACCTTTAAGAAGTGAGTAGGTGTAGCTGTGGTGGTGTGCTGAGCTTCTTACCTGCTGAGAAGCAGGCTTCCACTGGGTCTTAGTGAGCTACTGCTCTCCCCTGGGGTCCCTCTGCTCTTTTGCTCTCTTTCAGCTCCCGATTTCTAGTTCCCTGGATTTGTTGTCAGGGTTATTCTTTTCTTTACTTCCCTCACAACTTTGTCCTTATTCTCTAGACTTTGAGGTTTTTTTGCATTTGGCTCTGCTTGGTTTTGAAATCCTCTATTGTCAGATTAAAAAGTTTACTATCCTTCCCTGAGATCATCCAAGATCATAAAGATGGCTTTCTCAGGGCAAGGATCATCCATCCATTCCATTGTGGGAATGGTGGCTCCTATGATTTCCCCAAATGTGGGAAATTCAATTCATGTAATTTGTGGTACTGGAGGACTGTGCTAGCATTTCCGGGGTTGGGGAAGTTTTGCTACAGTCCTTATCCCAGTACACCCTAACTGGGTCAGTCTCTGAACTCCAAAGGCAGGGGAGACAGAATGTCATTCATCCTTCAAGACCCTGCTCCTAGGTCTTTGCCTGGGCGCTTTCCTGATCTCCTTCACCAGGCTCCTTCACAGGACTTACATTCCATCCTGTTTACAACTCTGCTTTTGCCACAGTCTATTATTATTTCTGTGTTCACATGGAGTTTTTTGTCTTGACTAAGAACAGCTTCAGGGCAGGACTAATGTCAGCTGTAGAAAAGGTATTCAAGGAACTGGAAAGAAGGCTCAGCGGTCAAGAGCACTGACTGCTCTTGAAGAGGACTGGGTTTGATTTCCAGCACCCACAAGGCGGCTACAAGCCGTCCTTAACTCCAGTTCCAGGGGAATCTGAAGCCCTCTTCCGACCTCTGCAGCATTGCATGATATGGGTGCACTCACATACATGCAGGCAATACACTCATGCACATAAAATAAAAATAAAATATTTTAAAAAAGAAAAGGTAGCTGGGCATGGTGGCTCACGCCTTTAATCCCAGCACTTGGGAGGCAGAGGCAGGCAGATCTCTGTGAGTACAAGGCCAGCCTGATCTACGTAGTGAGTTCCAGGACAGCTGGGGCTACAGGGAGACCCTGTCTCAAAAAGACCAAAAAAAAGAAAAGGTATTCAAAAATTGTTAAGCAGGGTGCAGAGGCTTTCATCTGTAACCCCAACAATGGGGAGGCTAACAGAGCAAGATCATGTCAAATTCAAGGTCAGACTGGTATCCAGAGTGCCTTCCAGGCTGGCCTAGGCTGAAGAGTGAGAGCTTATTTCAAATCCCCACCCCATCCTAAAATCATGTTAATAGCATTTTCCCAGACTGTCACGCACCGTTCTGTCCTTTTTCTCTTGATCAGTACAGATGTTTTTGGCTATAGTAACAGTCACTAACACTGATTTAAACAATCAGAGGTTTATTTTCTCACAAATGAGAAGTCTGGAGGAAAGGAGTCTAAGCTATCAAAAACCCCGCCTCTTCCTAGTCTGATGATTTTAACTGTGAATCATAGGTGGCTGTTGCACCTTTAAGCATTATGTATGTGTTCTAAGCAGGAAGAAAGAGGGAAGGCAAATGTGAAGAGGCAATGATAGCTCCTTTTGAGGAAGGCAAGCATAGGGAATAGTTTAGCAGCTTAGGACTCCACTTTATTTGGGCCATGTAGACACCCCTCTTCTAATAATGCTCTTAGTGGCTCAAGACCCTTACCTGCATGTACTCTGCATTGGCACTCCTCTCCAAACAATGCACCTAACAACCTATAAACAACCTAGGACCCCCACCTACATTCAGCAGCATGCATCTCACTCTGAGCAATGGAGTAAGTTTCTCCTCCCCTTAATGACTCAAATTCAGACAGGTTCTATTCAATCATAGTCTAGTTATGTATAGTCTATGTATGAAAGTGGGAGGGGGGTCTATCTGTCCTGAACTGGTTTGGGGTACATGTGCAAAAAGGCAAATTGTATCCTCAAAATGAACTTTCAGGGAGAATCCCCTCTTTATTATCTTATGCCTATGCATAATTGTGTAAACATAACATTAAAATCAGATGCACTCTGTGATGGGACATAAGCAGTGGGCAAAGGGCATACAAAATACAAGCCTGTCAATTAATAGAGAACCACTCAAACTAGACTCCTAGTAACCAAACACCTCCTTCTTTTAGATACCATAAATAGAAGTGTCAGGCCCTTGAGAACCCTCACTCACATGGCCAGCAGTCCCTCATCTGTATGGAAGGGGTATCTGACCCCTTCCATCATTTTACTTTGAAATAAGTTCCCTTGCTACTTTGCAAATTGTGTGAGTCTTTATTTCAATTATTTAAAGAAGAGGTCAAGAACCTGGAAAGAACCAGCTCAGACCACTAGTAACACTTTCTTTCCCTTTCTCCTTCCCTCCCTCCCTTCCTTCTTCCCTCCCTCCTTCCCTTTCTCCCTCCCTCCCTTCCTCTCTCCCTTCCTTCCTCTTTCCTTCCTTTCCTCATTCCTTTGTTTCAGCGCCCAGGATCAAACCTAGGGTGTTAGATATGCAAGACAAGTGAGTTATATTCCCAGTCACAACTCAGCACAGGTTTTCCTAAAGACTTCTGACACCTCATTGACCATCACTAGGTCAGATGGCCATCCCTAGCTGCAAGGGAAGCTGAGAAGAGGAAGGCAAAGGAGAAAGCAGAAAATATGAACAGGAACATTCTCAGGCCTCACGCTAAAGCTACTGAATCAGAAATACTGGGGTGGGGGTGAATTCCAGAAATCTGTGTATCAGACATGCTGGGGGTGGATCCTAGCAATCTGTGTTACAACAGGCCTTCCAGAAGATTCTGATATAACAGCAGCTAGTGAACTATAGCCATGAAAATAGCCAGATTTAGTTTTTTGTTTTGATTTTTTAGGCAGTGCTTCATGCATTCCAGGCTGGCCTTGAACTTGCTATATAACTCAGGATAACCTTGGATTTGTTCTTGTTCTTTCTCCACCTCCTAAGTGCTAGTATTACAGGTGTGAGTCACCACATCCCACTTATGCAGATAAAATCCAGGGCTTCCTATATGCTAGGTAAACACACTTCCCACTGAGCTACATCCCCAATTCCCATGATGGCCAGTCTTATGCCAGAAAAAAAAAAAAATTCCAGACTAGAATGCAAATTACCCATGTTTTGGTAGAGGTCCTGTTACTTGCTTCCCAGAGACCTTAGTTTTCTTATCTATAAAATGGGAGTAATAATGGTTGCACTGATTTCATTCACTGAATTGTTGTCATGACCAATTTAAATAATATAGAGGGAACATATTGGAAACTATAAATCACTAAGTAAATTCCCTGATTTTGGGTGTTGCTAAGAAGGTCAGAACGAAGTAGGCTTGAAGTTCAGAGACAAAATAAAATTGGAAGGAATATGACAGTGACTTTTCTCAGTCAGGGAAGAACCATGCCTAACACAAAGAGGAAGTTTCTTCTTTAAAATTTTTTTAAAAAAATAAATAGTTTATTGAGAATTTCATACATGCATATAAGGTGTTTTGATTGAATCCACTCCCTCCCCTCCAACTCCTCCCATATCTCCTATCACTTTTTTCTAATAGCTTCATGTACTCTTTCTTCTTCTTTGATTTATTTATTTATTTTTTATGGGGCTTTTTGGCTATTATAACATTCCCCCCTCTGAAGAGGTACCCCTAAAATCTTTTAAGGATTAGATAAAAGCTCCCAAATACTTTTGACATTGTTGGCCTTTGGAATGGAGTAGGTTGCTAAGAGGCCTAAGGACAGTGTGAGTTTTAGCCAAGAAACTGGCTACTTTTCTTTGGGGTCTTTTTACCCTAACTGCCTAGTCAATTCCTACCTCCTATTCTTATCACACCATTGTCTGAAGACGTTACCCAACTTGCAGATAGGGAATCGGGACATAGACCACTCTGGCTTCTTCCATGTTGAACACGGACGCAGGGTGAA